ATCATGCTCAATGTAACATAAGCAATGTGATACAATAGTTAGATCCTCATGGGACTAATTCCTCATGAATTATTATGAATTATTCCCAATGACACTCCCTTAAGCAAAGAAAAGAAAAAGAAAAGCCAACATTTTGTTTATAACCTCAGCCCTTTCAGAACATGTCTTCATTTTCGCATTGATTCTAAATTCAGTAACATCTTGATTAACCTCATGAGAAATCCTTTGTTGAAGTTTAACCAAGATGCCTGCTTTGATAGATATATTGCAAATTTAGAATTTAGTAAAATTATTTGTTGATCTTTTAATTGTAACCTTGGCCTAATTAGCCATTTTTATGTTATAAAATGAATTGTAATTTCTGTCATATTGAGACAATCGAAAAACTAACCATATCACTAAAAAGACTTTATCGACTTTAGTGTAGGTTCCAAGTTACAGATCATTTGGACAAATATTCAATTAATGAGAAGCCGTGCAATTTACAGAGAATGTATGGGGATTTTGACCGCGTCCCCCAAAACAATACATTCCCTGTTAATTTGATGAAACTAGGAATAAATACTGTTCAGCTAGTTTTTATCCAAATGTTTTGAAACTTGGCATATTTATTAATTTTTGGGTGTCCTTTCATCTGGTGGGGTTTGTTTTGTGATTAGATCAATATTTCTTTGATTAGTGCCCAGTCCCCTGCGCAACGTCGAAATGGCTAATACTCTGTCATCTGGCTTCGTCATATTTGCTAGTAAAGTCACTGTGATGTCCATCATTTTGCTTGGTTCAATATGGAAAATATTTGGTGCATCAATGTTTTAAAAAGTAAATTATAGAGAAGTAAAGAGAGTCTTTTCTAGATTCCTACAGAAGGTTGCCATATGTTGTAATGAGCTTTAGAAACTCTTTTTAATAATGTTGATCAATATTTTTTTCAGACTGTAATTTTTTCTCGTGAGAAACACAAGAAAAAGTTGCAATATTAAAAACATTGGGATACACTTTGAGAAGCTATACTTTACAGATAAGTGCAAAAGGTTTTTTTTAGCTTCATCTTCAAATGAAATATCTGCCATAACAATTTGAGTCCAGAAATTGATAAGACCACTCTGAGACCACTTCAAATAATCTTGAAACTTCAATACACCTCTAAACTAGGTCTTAAACTTGCTATTATATATAACTATTAATTTTGCTAGTGTGCTAGTGTTGTTTATAGAACAAGAGGGCATGTTTTATTGGTTGGGATACTATAGATTTGAGCTGCAGGTGACTTCTAGAACTCCAACATCCAGAAATTGTAATCATTTTAGAAAAAAGCTACAAAATGCAAAAACAGTAGTAATGCAGGGTATTAAACTTCTAATGAGCATGTGCATTGTGCCACAATTGTAAAATTTTTGATCCCATACAGAAGAACGGCTAGTCTTTGCAAATCAAAATTGCATGTCTGCACATTAATTCATACTGGTTTAAAATCTAGTAAATTCTAGTCTAGTATGATGCAGCTTTCAACTAACAAATTTGCTAGTTTTGGTTTGTGATAAAGTGCTGATGAACTTGAACATCAGTTCTTATATCTGATATAGATATCTGCCTTCTAGAATTAGGATGCTTGTGAGCAAACTCACTATAATGACATTGAGGTGAATGGCCTAAAACAGAAATGCCAAGAGTTATACCGAATACATGCTGAGACATTCATGCTCATTACATTTTATTCATTTAATTCTTATAACCTTGTAACTTCATATTTGGGTTACCTGTGGTTACCTTCCTTGATCCCAGAACCCCCCGTGACATTGGATGTAGATGATAATTTTCACCTAATTTTTTCATATTTTATCAATATTCA